ACATCAGACTATATTAGTGTAATACTGCTATTAATAATGAAATACTAAGTAATTTGGGCTAGAGTGGATTCTTACTGGCTTTTTTAGAGCCCACATTTCTAGTTGTTACACCCCTGTTTTAGTTACAGAGGTCTTTGTGTTTTCCTTTTCTTCTGATTGTGTAGATGGGATGAATAAACATTTTGCATGGCAGGTAAGGGATTCACTTGGGGATACAGAAATGTCTGTTTGAACCCCACGTCTTAGTAGATTTCAACACGACAGCAAATGTCTTTTGCTGCAATGGTGCACTTGGAGTGACCATGCGACAGGCCTCTGGATAGGGTATGTTTTTCACAGTTTTTACCCATTGAATCTCTTTTTCTATTTGCCATGCAGGGCATTTTTGAGAGTAGGCAGGATGGGCANAAATAAGCAATTACCTATAACCAGCATTAATTCTCTTATAAACAAACATTATAGTTGCCAAGAGAGTGGACAAATCCAGAAGCATAGTAATAATGAAAAGGGACACATATAGAAACGGCTTACGTGAATACATATACAACACTGAATGCACTAAGGCCCCCTGCAGATATTTGGAGAAGATTCAAGCTAGGGTAAAGCATATAGCTAATTCCCATTAGCTGGAATACTCAAAGTAACTAGGGCTACAGTCTCAGCACCAATTTCTCCATCCTTGTTTGCTTTTGCCAAACTCCATAAACCAGTAAACAACTACACCCGGTTATCAACAAATTGAGATCTCCATCTATTCTTATGGAGCGTATGCTCAATTCTTTTATAAGCAGCAACATGGAAGAATATCCGTACACTGTGTCCAATCTGGTGGAGTTGATTCACAGATTGAACACCATTGGCAACTTGGAGGGCATCTACTTTATAGTATGTGATATTGAGTCCATGTTCCCTTCCATTCGTATTGAACCATGTTTTTGTGAATTACAGGACTTCCTCATTCGTAACATCAATGACTCTTCCAGACATATTTCCAACATTTTAGAGTTGGTACATCTTATATGTCACTCGGCCTTTTTCATATTTGAAAGAGATACTTTCCTTCAAAGTAGAGGGGTACCCATGGGTAGTCCCATCTCAGGAACGCTTTGTGAGTTGGTGATCAGACAACTCAAGTGGCGTGTCTTACCTGGCGTAAGTGATGACATTAAGTTGTATGCTAGATATATAGATGATGTGTTGATTATTTGGAGAAGAACACCAAACTTAGAAGTGTTCATTGAGACTTTCAATGATAACTGGCCTCTCGTTGTGGGCGGAACAACAAAGCTCCACCAACGTACACTTTCTTGATATAGACATCACGTTACAACACAGCCGATTAAGAACTAAGGTATTCCGTAAGACCTCGTATGCTCTGCTTTTCATCCATGCAAAATCTCACAATCCTTTTGGTTACAAGATCTCTGCTTTTAAGGCCCTAGTAAGAAGGGCTTACACCCATTGTTCGAATGCAGAAGATAGGAGAATGGAACTGGAGTATATTTCAAGTGTAGCTAGCAGCATGGTTACCCTGCACATCTAATTAATGATCTGGTTGCCCATCAGGAACAACCAGCGGAAACAGCACTTACGGGAGACAAGTCCTTTTTTCACCTATTACTTACAGCAAGATCCTTACCAACACCTACAAACAAATAGCCCTCTTTAAGAGTAATAGGATTGCATACAAAAGATCTCCAATGGTTTTCTCTTGTTTAAGAAACAATAAGGACCATTTGGATCAAAATAATATCCCAGGTGTATATTCTATCCCTATTTATGATCATACTAGAGAATATGTTGTCCTGGAGAATATGTTGGTGCTACCGCACGTTGTCTTAAAACAAGGATTAAGGAACATAAATACGCCATTCACAAAGGTCTTTCCACTATGGCATTGGCTTCTTATGCCATTGATAATGACGTCATGGTAGACTTTGATAATGCATGATTACTACAACAATGCGAGGACCAGACCAGCCTAAAATATCTCAAACAGCTGGGAGGTATTTAAAGCATTCAAGAGGGAACAGCCATCAATTTTAAAAAATGGACTCAGTGGTGGCTGCGTGGAGGGCATATTTTGATGTAAAATAGATCGTCATCAAGTTTATCTTTATAATTTATATAAACATCGAATTTTTAAAATAGGAAGCCAGTTTGAAAAACTCATTTTTTTAAAGAGCTACATTGAGCATGTGCATATCTTCAAGATGTGCAATTTTTGAATTTTTGGAAGATATGTTCTTTTTAGCGATGTGCCAGATATCTGACGGAAAAAAAATCTGTATCCTTACTTTTTAGCAGATCTTTAACAGATCTTTTTATCTTAATGAATTTCATTACTTATATAAAATTTTAAAGATAGGTAGCAATAAAATACTAATAACTTCAATTCATATCAATTTTTATTTCTTAAAATCACATATTTGGCACATTCATATTGCAAATATTTTATCATCTTTATCAATTTTATCATATTGCAAAAATTTTATCATGCAAAATTCATTTACTATCGTAAAATATTTCCATATTACACTGCTAAACTTTTTTGTCAACATTGTTTTTATTTTAATTTAACTCAACACTCTCCAAAAACACAAACGCAATCTATGCTATCCCATGTCACACTAAATTATAAACAAAAACACATGCAGTGCAAGTCAAAACATGTCACATTACTAATGCAAAGCGTCAACTATCGGTCCAAGGTCACACGCACCGGCACCGACTGAGTACGAAACTTGAGATCCGTATCCGTATCTGTGGACCTAGACACTAATGATTCGTATCCGTGGATATACAGTGGTGCCTCATATAACGTACTCCTCAAATAACAAACGCTGCAAACAACAGACTTTCTGTTCGGCTGTTACGTGACTCGAGCAACGGACTGGCTGCGAACAACGTACTTTCCATTCAGCAGTTACATGAGGTGAACAACGATCTTTCTGCAAACAAGTGTGAATGATGTTTCCACTTTTTTGCCATTGACAATAACAATCTGCTATTTTTATAATATATTAGTATTATTAAAATATATTATTAACCTTTAGAGGACCAGGGGTCACGACTGGTCGTTACCCCCCCTTTTTCATAAAGACGACAAGGTATCGATTAATCGTTACCCTAATAAAAATCGGTTCTAATGAAAATTTTTGGCAACAGATGCCACCACTTGACGGTAATGTGTTGTCTACCATCTGTTTCACATATTTGTGTCCAGGTGGTGTTTTGTCGACTGAAAAATTTTTATTTAGCGATTTTTTTTTTAATTTAAATATTTTTTCATTTATTTTATAGCATATTTACGTAATAATATTACTAAAATACGTTTATTCATGCTATAATAAGTTTATTTAGTTATAATAAATCAATGTATGATAAATATTTAAATTGTGACCTTCTATTTTGATATTTATAAATTTTTTTAATTTTTTATTTTTTAATTAAATTAAAAATATTAGCCCATCGTAAATGTATTACTAGTGGTCTATATATTTATCACAATAATTTATATTATTGTTCAAAATAAAATGAATAAAGAATATTAGTTCGTAATACGCATCGATAGCAAAACAAAGGTTAGATTCCAAACAAAGGATATATTATAATCTGTGATAATTTTAAAACTAATAATCGTACATTCATAAATGTTATATCGAATTGTACAGAACGATATTTCAAGTCGTTCTGGCTTGGTGCCAAGAACAAACTACTTAACTGGAGTATGTGAATTTTACAAAAATGTTGCAAATTTTCACAGACAGATGTCAGGTCTGAAATATTTTAATTTTTTTTTTATTGAAGTTTATATTTAAATGTATTTAAAAATATCGGATTTATAACTACAGATATTAATAAATGTAACGTAATTTTTGTCATATGAATATAATGATAAATTGATTTTTGGTGAATTTTTAAAGTAATAAAACATGTCTGACCTTGTTTGACCTATATTGCCCTTTGTCGTTTTAAACAATGAACGTAAACAGGGGGGCGGGGCAAGCTAGTCCTCTAAAGGTTAATATATCTGAAGTACAGAGCTCCCATTGGGATTTGGCTTGCTCCCTTGTTTATTACGTACATCACCTCAGTGCAGGGTATTTACATTTATTCAAGTGTTGTGCAAGCATATTCTAAAAACACAGAAAGGTGATTTCAATTGAAACAAAACAAGACATCATCAGAAGGAGTGAAAGCTGACAAAAACTTCCTTGTCAAATGGGGAGAGGTTCAAGAGTTTACCAACACTCATTATCCAAACAGAGCTGAGGCCAACAGGATCAATGATCTCTACAATGACACCCTTGCCCGTCATTTCCGACAGGTGTTGAAGAAGAGAGAAATAGACCACCTTGGACATGTTTTTCAAGAAGCAAGCTGCCAAAAAACAAAGGATGGAACAAGAGGAGATGACTCTGCAAGCTCCATAGCCTCTCCTGATTCTGACTCCAATTAAAAACAATAAAAAGAGACCTGACCTGCTGCAATGTGTAAAAAGTCTATCTGTATGAATGTGTAAAGAAAGTGTTCCTCCACCTCCTCCTCACAATATCTCACTACTCGGCATAATTGGTGACTGCTCCATTTTCATTTTTTTATGTAACAGTACAGTTATTTTATGCTGCAGAACGAATTATATGTTTTAACATGTATTTCTATGGTAAAATGTGTTTCGTGTAACGGACTTTTCACTTAACAGATGTGCACATGGAACGGATTAAGTATGTTATACGAGGCACCACTGTACATTTTTAATGATCCGGCACATAACTAGTTCTTTTACAAACATAGAAATCTGATGATGACCTTTAAAGATGGAAGAAAACGTTCATTTATAAGAGAATTAATGCTGGTTATAAATAATTGCTTATTTATTAGTTGAATTCTACACCAGTAATATCATGAGGATTATATTTAATTAATTTTTTATAAATCAGCAATGTTTAAAAGAAACATTTTATAAATATAGTTAAAAATTACTTTCTAATACTTACCATCATACCAAGACTGTCTTGTGACAAAGGAGGCCGTGGAACTTGGGATCTAATTCCAGCACTTCCACTTCCACTACTTCCAGCCAAACTATTTGCTAAATAAAAAAATTATGTTATGTATCTAGTGTATACATTCACAACAGAATTTAAAAAATTATATATGGAAATTTGGAAAAAATCAATTATCAAAAAAATTGAGAAATTTTTTGATTATTATTTGACAAATTGGAATCTACAATAAAACAGATTGTTCCAAATAATATCATAATTCCATAAAACTTATAAGATTCCAAATATTTATTTAAACAAAATATTTTATAAAAAATTTTTTTGTCCACTAAAACCTAACAAATTAACAAAATTCCGCATTTGCCCTTCACTGGCTAACAGGGAATGTCTGCCCCTGAAAGGAAGATGTTCCTGTGAGATAAATTTTCCATTACTTTCTTTTTTTTACAAAGAGGAGAAAGTCAAATTTTAGTTGAAAAATAATCAAATCATTTGGTAAGATCACAAATTTTTGGTAGTCGATCTTCCAGTCTAACTTTGGTTTCTAAGTTTCACTAATCTTCAGTTACAATGAAATGGAAAAATATAAGAACATGAATACAAAATTTACAGAACACAAATACAATTGTAAAAAAATAACAATTTGAATACAAGGACATTATTTTAAACAAATAAATAAATAACAGCAATTGCAGGTAAAATTAATAAAATAAAGAAATAAATAAATAAATAATAAAATATAAAAATAAATGAATAATTATCCTTTAATAAAATCAAATTTCATAAACAGATTGCCATGCCGTAGACAAGTTGTCTGCATCTCTATGGTTAATGGACCTGGAATTTTTATGAGACTTATAAATTTCAAATTTTTCTAGATAGCCCATAGTGTGTATATTAGATGTGGGTCTGATGATGGTTGCTTGCTCCCAGTTTACTTGTATGTCTTCGTGTTGTGAGTAAGCTGCCATTGTTCATGTTATTGAGATTTTTTCAATTGCATACTTATGCCCCTTGAGTCGCTGCTGTAAATTACACCCAGTGGCACCTACATAGACCAGTTTTGATTTGAAGCATTGGTCGTTTATCAAGATGGAGTAAATCCCTGTGGAAGAATTATGGTTATATGGTTTCTTATCATTCCTTAGAATTTTGAAGATTGTTGGGTTGCATCAATATACTACCAAAACATTATTAGCCCTGGCCATTTTGTTATGTATCTTACTTAATGATGGGATATAATTTAAGACAACCCTTTGTTTCTGGTTCACTGATTCATGTTGACATTTTGATGCTTGAAAGGTCACAATCAATTTTTGTATTACAGTAGAACCTCGAAAACTCAGCCTAATGTGGACCGAAGGGTGGCAGAGTTTGTGAAAATGCTGGGTTATCGGGAATGGGGTTAAAAAATAATAAGTACGAGTGTTTCCTCAGAAAATACTGTACTGTACTTGTATGTATTGCTTACTTGAGAATATAACAGAGAATAAACTGCCTAAATACCCTTAAACAAAGGAAAAGTACGTCCTTTATGAAGGCATAGAGCCTTTACTACATGAAAATGAAAATTAATGCATACACTGTGTACAGTAATTTACCTGATAAGACAGACCTCAGAAAAATACTTTATGAGAGCTTTTATACTTTTATAAAGCTGTCTATAATGAAAATTAATTAACTAAGGATTTTTTTGCCCTGCCAGGGTGTGGCCGAGTTATCCGGAGTGCCGGGTTATCGAGAGCCGAGTTTTCGAGGTTCTACTGTATTTTTATTGGATAACCCTGTTGCTCTGCAATTTTTAAGAAGTAATTCAGCTCCATTATGGTGTCTTGGATGTTGGTACAATGGGTGTTGGTATAAATCCCCTTCTTATCAAGAATCTAAAGGCTTCGAACTTGATGTGCCAGGAATCAACCTAGTTGTACGGGATTAAAACAGGCTGAAAACTGTTTCCTATATACCTCCACAATAATTTAGACATCAGATTGCTGTCTGATCTTCTTGAAAATACAACTTAATCACTGATTATAGGTGACCATTTCAAAGGGCTTGGTGCAGGAGATCTCCAACTGTCTTTTCATTACTTAGAAACAACAAGGACCTTCCTGATGAAAAGTCTCTGCTGGGAGTGTACACAATTCCTTTGTAAGACCATAGGGTTGATCAACATTATGAATATATAGGTGTTACCTTTAGATCTCTTAAGACAAGGCTTAAGGAACACCAGGACTCAATTACTAGAAAAACAGGAGGTACAGCCTTGGCTGCCTATGCATTGGACAAAGACGTAGAGGTTTGTTTTCATTCAGCTCACCTTCTGCATCAAAACGCATTACCATCACATCTAAAATATCTTGAGATTATTAAGGTATACAAGGTCTGTTCAAAAAGTATCAGACTTTTTTTTTCCGCGTAAACCAATGATGCGCGAGAGGCCTCCTTCGGTGGAGTTGTGGAGGGGACAGTCATGCACAGCCCTGAATTTTTTCCCGCTTGCAGGAAGCGTCAGTCGTTGGCAATCGGCCTATGAGTGAGGTCATGTAGTGCGCTCTCGTCGGATTCCACTAAGCTGGAAAATGACTGAACAGTGTGAGCAGCGATATTACATCAAATTTTGCCAAAAACCTTGGCGATATCCAAGCATAAACCATTCACAAGATTCAGCAGGCTTTTGGGGACGATCCTCGAGGCCAAAAAAAGCGCGGCAGCTCCGCAGCAATATCAAAGGTCATGTTGACAGTTTTTTCGACTCACGTGGGGTGGTGTGTCGTGAGTATGCACCACGAGGCCAAACCATCGCAAAGGAGAACTACCAAAAGGTCCTTCGTCGTCTTTCCGATACAGTGCGACGCAAATGACCGGATCTGTGGTCGATCAAAACTTGGCAGCTCCATCGTGATAACGCATCTGCCCATTCTGCGCATCTGATTCGGGCTTTCGTCGCCAAACACAATACTCCTGTGGTTCATCACACTCCGTACTCTTCCCACATGGCTCTGTGTGACTTTTGGCTATTTCCCAAGCTGAAAATGCCGCTAAAAAGAACCCGAATTTAGTCGAGAGAAGACATCGTGCGAAATCCGATGGACCAGCTGATGGCCATTCCAAAAGATGCGTTCCAGCAGTGTTTCCAGCAATGGCAGGAACGCTGGGAGAAGTGTATACACTACCAAGAAGACTACTTTGAAGGGGATTAGGGTTTTGTATCTTAAAGTCAATAAATTTATTTTTGCCGACCAAAGGTCCGATACTTTTTGAACAGACCTTGAGTAATGCTGTTTCTAGAAGAACAGCTATTAATAGCAGGGACAGCACTCCAATGTCACATGCCTGGATAGCAGTATTTGAGCACATTTAGCAACCATGTAATCTTATAATATAATTGAGATGGGTTGATAATAATGATAATAATAAGCACAGAGCCCAAATGGTAAGGAGTTGAAAGTTGAAATTTGGTACATAGTTAGGGAATGTACACTAAGGGATTTTTCAAAATTCCCCCCACGGGAGAGGGACAGGATTACCGTGAAGAACTCAGCTTCTATTATACTATTTTAGATGCAGATTTTTTGCATTTTTGATTGTGGTTTAATAGAGTATGCCATGAGAATGCATATTAAAAAGGAATTTTATGAAATTCCCACTGCAGGAGAGAGAGAGAGAGAGAGAGTTAAGGATTACCCCGAAGAACTCAGCTTCTACTATTTTATATGCCTTTTTTGCATTTATGCGGGAAATCGAACATATTTTTAGACCCTTCTAAAATTCTCAATGATATGTAGTGTTCCATCATATATAAAGTTGACACGGAAAGTGCATGTGCATAAGTTTGCTTTATTCTAACTCTTCATCTTAATGTTCGATTTTATGTTCGAATTTATATTTATGAATGATTCTGGGAGATCCAGCTTATTTTTCATATTTATTAAACCTGAAGAAGAACCCAGAAAGAGTTATGAAAACATTTATTATTTATCATTTAGTGGTACTACACACCAGTTGGTGGTTGCAGTGAGTCTTATTTATTGTTATCCCAGTGTGGTAAGCAGATATCTACAAATTCTCAAGTCTTGAAAGAGGGGGGACCTAATTCTTGCACCCGGTGAAAACAAGCAAGATCGGCAATAATCTTAATCTTTGCTATTGTTACTTTTCGCCCAAGCAATGCTGGGCTCATCTGCTAGAATTTTATAAACAGTTTGGTCTTAGTACATTTATTGTTTTTTTATGACTTTTTCTTATCTATAGTTATTTACATTTTTTGTGTATGTTATTTTTCCTTTTTATTCATTTTAATTTACAATGTATTACTGTGCTCCTGCAGATGCAAACTTCTTATGCAACAAACATTTTTGAAAATTTAACTTCTCGTTCAATTTGCATTCTACCACTAGAACCTGAGGATAGCCTTTTTAAAGGTTGAAAACATTTGTTTTTCAATAAATGCTTTTGTTCTTTTCACTGGATATTGGGTTTGGAAGTGTTCTTATATTGCATACATTCAGTTTGAAGTAATATTTCTGTAATATAAATAAGGCATAATAATAAAAACAGCCGAAAAATTTTATAAATTATTAACTTTTAATCTTGAAGAATAATACAAACAGTTGACATGGTTCTGTGACAATCACTTGTCATTTCTATATGTATAATATTAAATTGTCGGTTACAAAGCCTTTGTAAATTTCCATAATGTTCCATCGCCATTAGGCCTGGAGGGGAAATAAACCCAGCGTGGAAGCAGGAAGGGTATATAATGACTAAGGTAATCTCTTAACAAACCTTTCACTGGTGGGAAATATGAATAATTGTCCACGCAAACATTTTCAGATCCCTCCTGGGACCTTTTTTTCAAGCTACAATTCATCTGTAAAGGACAAATTGTAGTTTGAATCCTGCTGATCTTCCTTCTAACGAATCTTTACAGACGAATCGTAGCTTGAAAAAAGGACCCAGGAGGGATCTGAAAATGTTTGCGTGGACAATTATTCATATTTCCCACCAGTTAAAGTTTGTTAAGATATTATTTTACATTAATCTGGTGTGTGAAGATTCTTTATAATGACTAAGGGTTGAGAAAAGAGCTCTTTTTCATTTTCGGTGTTATTGTATTTGCAGGAAGCAGACGAAGGCAACCAGCAACAGCAGGACTGTGCAAAGGAAGTGTAAGGAAGTCAATGGACTTGATTCCAATCAACAAGACGAGGAAGAGATGACAGTGCTTATTCAAAATAAGTTTTTGAAGAAGCTCTCCCATTTTAGCATCTACCCTTCCCTGCATTTTGAATGTCTACAAATAATAAGATAATCTTCAAAAAAAAATTTACTGGATTAGAATAATACATTTTCGAATAAAATTTTTGAATGACTGATTGTGTGGGAATCTAAAGCATTGTACTTTTAGAAAACCCTCTAATTATTGTGTGTGAGGGATTTAATATTACAGGATTGGATTTGATGTTAACTCAAGTTTGAGTTAAAATAAAAACTGACAGTTCTACAACAATAACTCCCCTGGATAGTAACCCCCAACAAAAACTCCCATGTAAAAACTCCCAGGGAATAAACCCTAATTTTAAATGTTGGCAAACTAAATCAAATAATATGCTAATGTCACACACGTGAAATTTTTGGAATAAATGTCTTAAATCGATGACAATAACATAATTTTAATAGCACAAGACTAGCATATCCCTCTTTTAACTTTGAAGGTTATTAATTAATGATAAAGTCAAACTAGCACTCTTAATTTAATGAAAACTCATTTTTCCACAAAAACACATTAATAGGGTAAATAATATTAAATATCTTTTTTTATATTTTAACAGTTTGGCAATAGCCAGTTAATGTAATACTTAATGCACTGTCAATGAACATTTTAGGACTCCCAAATCTTTAGGTAAAGCACCTACTGTTTACAGCATCACCCTGCTCACTCCTTTATCTCACCTATAACAGGTTCGAAACAACAAACTATAAAAACTTTTAAATAATAATGATAAAAAAAGCCAATAATTATTAAATTTGGCGTTGTTTATAAGAAAACGAGGAAATGATTTATTTACAGCATTGGTGATGACCGATTCCCAACAACGAGAAAAGCGTACAAAAATTGTTGGTTACGTTCGTGATATTATACCACAGTATTCAAATGAAATCTTTAAAAGCTATTTTCGTAGTCACGATTAAAAATTTGCTCATTTAAAACAGCAAAAAACTGATTATTATTTGGTAGTCGAAAAAGATACTTTCTCAAGGAAGCATCCATCTTGTAAGCAGTATTTTTAGCGTGGTCGAGAGGTTCTGCTAGTACACTGAAAGTGCACCTTAAGCGCACTGACAGTAGGCTTAATAATTGAGCACATGCACTAAAAGCACTGCAAGTATGCTGAATAAAAGAAAGTGCAAATGATTTCAGAGCCTCAAATCAAATTAGTTACAAAGATTTAGACTAATAAATGTAGATCTTATAACCAAAAATATTTTCAATGGCTAATTAGACAATTTCTGTAAAATATTTTGTTTTTGTTGTTTATTATAAAATAATCGGTTATCTTCTTTTGTCATTATTCATACATAATACCATGCAAAAAACTTTGATATCATCAATCTTACCTTTTGGTGTTGTGCTCAGATCTGAATCCGAAGAACGTCTCTGTCCGCAAGACAATCCAACTTTGGCCGGCGACTGAGATAATTTTGTGGGCGTGTGGCCGGTCGGAGAACTCGGTCCCGCATTCGTCACGAGAAGAGCATCTTCTGGAACGGGAGACCTGGGATACAGGGGAGCAGAGCTTATACGCTTCAGTCTCGAGCACGGGGATTTCGATCCCAAATGGGACGATATTTTTTTCACCCGATAAATTGCTTTATTAGCAAAAGCAGGAATTCTTTCAATCCTTAAATTTTCTGTGCTAGTTAAATATTCTGTATCTTTCACAGGAGAAAACACTTCAGAGTGAGCTTTTGATAATGAATTCGACTGAAGCTGAAATACTAAGTCACATTCCTTTTGGGCATTTCTTACTGCAGAACGACAGAAGACAGGAGATGGAGACCGAGAACAAGACAGATTTAGTGCAGGAAACATACTTGAAATAGGGACAGCGGTGACAGCGACAGATGCAGAAGATGCTACTCGTCTCAAAGAAGTCACCGACGTGGTAGGAGATAATCTATATACATTTAGGATGAAGAGAGGAAAGCAAAAAGTTTGAAGAACTTTATACATTGAAAGTTACAAAATAAATGTTAAAATTTATGAAAATGTTGAAGTAGAAAGAATTGGAAGAAAAGAATAAGGTAAGAAATATTGAGAAAAAATAATTTTTAATTTGCCTCCATCTCCATTTTTCACATTCATATTAAGCTTTTCAATCACAATTATTCACAAAAACTAGATGAATCTTTCATATATCAATACAAACATAACCTTAATTAAACACCAGCACAAATTTAGTTCATTTTGACAAATGTTTTTTGATCTAATGATAGATCTTCATCAGATTCCTAAATTTAAATTTTGTAACAATTGCACATACATTCCAAAGTAGAATTTTAAGCTTTTAGACCTGATGCAGATCTATCGTTAGATCAAAAATGTTTCATCAAAGTAAATTAAAGTTGCGCTGGTGTTTAATTAAGATCAATGTTTGTATATAAACTTTTCAATGCTAGATTATTTGAATTACTAGATTATTATTTTATTATTTAAATGTTCACTACTTCTTATGACAATTTCATTTTCTATATCAAAAGCTTGAGTCAAAATAGTTTTACAAATATTCAGATTATTCTGTATAAAAAAACTTAGTTCACACTAAAATAAAAATGTTCCTTCAACAAGATGATAATAGTATTTTCCTTATATTATATAAGAAAGCATTATTAACATTTTTACTGTCTTGTAATTAATAATTATGTAAATTCAAGAGTTTTCTATAGAATAATTCTGACCAACTGATAACTGAGGGAACCAAACACTTCTTTCAGTGGAACATATGATTTGTAAAGTAATGTAAATACATAGGGTGGGCATCACACTGACAAATGTACATACATGAGGAGAATAACTCAATATCAAAAAAGGTATAAAAAAATATTTTATTTCTCTGCGAGCACTTTTGACACTTATGAATGTCATCTTCAGACAAAAATACGGATCAAATTGTTTTTTTGAACAAATTTTAAATTACTGACTGAAACGGCCTTAACTGAATCGACAAATTTTAAAATTACAATCAGAAACAATATTAACCAAATAGAGTGTAAAATTTTTTAGAAAAAAAATATTTAAAAGCTTAATTTTAAAAATTACATAACATCTACGTTCATGCACTTAAATATGCAAAGAAGGTGTGAGAAGGTGGAGAAACACAGTTAATCAGAATTATTTAAGAGCTTATACAAGCTGATTCAAATTCCAGGTAACTCAAGCTTGAGAGAGTTGCATGGGGACACTTGATAAGTGGACTGTTAAATGTAGATTTTGGTTATATCCCTCTGGTGATGAATTATTTTGAAAAATTTTTGTTTATAGAATTTGCACTTATCAAGTGGATATAAAGGCCTGAAATTGCCTAACTGGACAGGATGAAAACTCAAGACGTCTGTAAGATCCGCCGGTTTCAATTTTTTACTTTCTTGTTTTAATTGGATATTTTTGTGTGTTTTTTAAGGAATGTTTCAACCTGATAACCTAGAGAAAGATCCGGTCGTCTATGGTATTCTGGAACACGTGATTAGAATAAATGGTGGTTTTCAAAAAATTATTTTTGGACAGACTGCATCTTTTTTGATTAACTTAAAATTATCATCTGGCAAAATTCTACAGTTGATGAAAATGATTTTACACATAGGTGCTAACATTTTTGGAATATAATAACAATATCAAGCATTTTCATTATTTTATATCTTTAGGATGTAATACCAAAATATATAAAAGTAAACATACTAAAACATTTTTTTAATAATCGAGTTCTTTCCTTTTACACATTTTGTTTCTAATTTTTTCTTAGAAAAGTCAAAGAGAAGAGAGAGATAATAGGTGACTTAGGTTCAATATTTGCCTTGATAATGATTTAAAATGTTTAAAAATGTTGCCTTTAAAATTTGAAACAGATAAGTAAAAATGCTTGCTTATTCTCTTTTCATATAAGTACATTTTAAAATATAAAATGATTAAATCCACATATTTCTTCAGTTCATAATTAAACAGCTCAAAGAAATAACCTCTCTATTAAATTTTCAAATTTTATCAAAGTTTGTTGAGTTTTCTTTTAATGATAAAAATATCATTACAAAACAAATTTAATATAACTTTTTAAAATACATTTCATAAAATGGAAAATTGGAATAAAACTACTAAGATTCTTTGAGTAATAATTTGGCTAAACTTTGATAATGATACAAAATAGTGGCTTAACTGTACCTTTAAATCAAGTTATTCAGTTTCATTAACTGCAATTTAGTTAAAATATGATGTGAAAATTTTCCTCCTTTCAACACTACTTTGCGATCACTAGTGTCAACTGTTTTTCAATTATTTCTCAATAAATGATGATATTAATTAATATGCCTTTTCGTCCTTTTTTATAACTCTATTTAAAGTTTATTTTGTATTACAAGTACAATCTATATATTAACAGGACTTATTATACTGGAATTATGGATGCAGATATTTAGTCTTACAGTTCAAAAATAATGTTCTTTATTTAGTTCACCTGAACACATACACTTTAAACATGTGTTTCGGACTTGCTCGTCCCTCTTCAGCAGGCCTTCCAACGACACTTTCTATAATTAACAACAATCAACAATAAAAACATTTTCGGTACAATTATCACTAAAACTAGTTAAGAACACAGACATTTCCCGACAATAAATATTTAAAAATTCTTACAATTTCTGTATTGCCTATCTTCACTATCCTTCCACCTACACTTACTATCCACAGCAACCATACGATTTGACACATTCCTAATTTTTT